AGTGGGGGGGGGGGGGGACTCGGTCAGAAATGGAAGGCTATAATTTTCGACAAGTCGGGAAGGGGCAACTGGATAAGCATAGATCTTGAGACATGATAGGATGATAAGTGAAAATGGCACGCCTCATCCCACTATGTACTGTGATAGGTCATCAAGGTTAACCACTCTTTGCTCGCCATACGTCAAAAACCAACCAAGCGGTCACGTCAATTCATTTTGGAGTGGAGGGAGACCATTTTTACCGATTATGAGCCTTAGCAGGGGTCACCATAGATTCTTCCCTGGGTTCGTCGGTTAAGATCCCGGTTCGCCTAAGATCCTTCATTTCCTTGCTCCCGAGCACCGGGATCTTAGGCGGAGACTACTGTAATAAAGATCTTCAGCTTACCTCCACTTTGTCCTGAGGAAGAGAGGAGAGACTGTGAGAGAGTGAGTCACAGAGGCTAAAGCCCTTGTGTACATATGACAGCCATGTGAAGTCATCGGTGTTATCAGGTTTCCCATGGCAGAGCTCTTGAAGAACCACTAAGCAAGGAATTCCAAGAGAAAAAAAATTATGACTAAATTCGGCAAATACAGATCTAGATCTATACGTCTGAGCAAGAAAACTTTATAAAAAGACAAAGAGTAGGGGACGCAAAGGGGGATTTGCAAAAAGAAACAGACTACTCAGATACCTGCAACTCCTCACCCTATTTCACACTGCACCTGTAACTGACTGTAAAAGTCCAAAGAAAACACTATCATAATATGAAAGCACAGACTAGATCTCTACTAGGCTATGATCGGAAGGACTTCCGTCGAGCGACCACTATGAGTGAGATAGAGTAGAGCAGAATAGAGGGGTAGGGGTAGTGTGAGGGTTAGGTCTCTTCTTTGTTGTGTATGTGTTGGGGTGATCGCTCGTTACGGAAGTCCTTCCTTGGTGGTAATAGCAATTATGATCAATCAATATGTGTTCCAAGTCAATAAAAGGAAATAGAACTTCTTCCACCTTCTAGTTTCGCCACAGGACCTGCATTTTTTAAAGAAGCTTCAATGTCCTTCGATACAACATGAGAACTCATCGTTTTTCCAAAGTAGTCTAGAATCAAGTACGGAATACAGCATCTGACGGCATCTGTCATCTGCAAACTGCATTCAACACCATGTGACTATGTGACAAAAGGAAAGAGGCTAGATCAACAACACACGCACACAGCACACAAGTGAGAGTAAATCTAAAAGTTGCCAGTATGCCCCCGATTATGTCATTTCATAAAGCCTATCAATTGATACATTTTTAGGGTTTTAATTTTAAGTTTCCATTATTGTTTTTATCTTTCATAGCGTCATATTTGTTCACAATAAGAATTAAAATCTTCACATTCTTGTGAAACTCAATTCATAAGTCCCCCCAAAAAGTTTTTTTTTTAAAAATATTATTGAAAAGGCAGAATTCGGTAATGGTTTTTACGTAAAAGATTGTCAAAATCTGGATGCATTTCCTTGTTTATTTAGATTTGATCCAAGCAGACGACACACAGCTCAGCTGTTCTTGACGATACATACATGGGTTCAAAGAGAGCGTGGATGGATGTCCGTTAGAAGAATGTAGCCTTTTCATTAGACCTATATTGCTTGTGAAGTACGCTTCTCTGTCATTCAAGTAATTATTATGTTAAGAGCCCATCAGCAGAAGGATACACCAAAGAAGAAAGGGAAAGGTCAAAGACTGAGAAAAGCCAATACGGTCACGCCGGGTAAGGTAGACTGTACTGTAATAAATCTCTCTAAACACTAGATCTATAACGAGCTCACATCTACTGTGCGTATGGCGAAAGGCCTGGTAATTAATTGTCTCATTATAACCGCTACACCACATGCACAGATTACAATCGAACCTATCCAAGACCACCTTCCTTTATTGTGGACAACAACAAAAAAAGGAACCATCTTAGACATACCATACTCTTGGACAGTAACATTAGGGCCTAACATCCATGTATGGGCTCTATGTTTTTTTAATGCAAAAGGGGAGGGCGTCGAGGAGTGGGAAGTGGCCGTTTGCGTAGGTGTCTGTCCTCTGGACAGGTGGTCTTTAGAGCAGGTTCAATTTACATCAATTCTGATTTCAACTCGGTATAACCATCTGTTTTTGTGGTGTAATGGTTAGGCCTGCTGCCTTTATATACAGGCGGAGTGAGTACAATCCCTAAGTTGGCAAGTCTGTATCGAACAACTTCACAGTTATTATAAGCCTAATTATTACGTAAGCCACTAGGCCTATAGGCATATATCTACAATAAATGAATTAGGTATCTTATTCACCCGCGGGTAGCACGGGCAGGCAGGAAATCAGTGTGGTGTACTTCCTAAATGAGCGAAATTGTGTCGATGGGAGTGAAGTGTAAATCATGTACAATCAAAAGTAAGTGACACCACAAAGAATTAAAGTTGTTTTTTTCTTATTACCATCTTTCATGATACATGTTTCAAGAAGTGGGTTTCGTGATCGTTCGCAGGGTTCTCCCACGAGGCAAGGGAACCATCCCGTTATGTTGCCTAAATCGGAATTGCCGCCTACAACGTGCAGCACTAACGTATGTAGCCTACTCAGAGTAATAAATAGGCTTTCTCATTCATTGCTTGACTTGTGATTTCAGAAACTTTAATTAGATCTAGATCTAGCACTGTTTTGTTTGTTTGTGTATGCGTGGTTTGCTTTTTTTTTG